ACCATGAAATCGTCAGCTGGCCCTCCTCCCCAAGAAAAAGCTTTCAGGATCTTGAGCTTGGATCATTTGGAGCTAATACGGTTAAGGTGCCAAGAAGCCAAGAAGTATCAGCTTGAGAAACAACAACTTTCAACTTCAAACTCCCATTTGAACATGCTCTCAGCGAGCACGAGCTCACTTAAGTCACCCAACTCACTCGGCTCACTTAAGTCACCCAACTCACCAAACACACCAAACAGCAAACAGCTGGTTCCTCACCCAGTTGAGAAGATTTCTTCGGTACACCAACCCGCCCGGCCCGGATGGCCCTCGGCCATGGAGCTGGAGCGCCGACGCTACGGCCTCTTGGGGGATTCTTCGCTCTACACCAAGCGAGGCAACAACAAGCGGCAACTCGGTCTCTTTTCGCCGGACGGTTCAACGGTTTGCTCTCAGAAGTCTAGATGAATGGTTCAGATATGTTAAGATCTTTCATTGTCTTGAACATGGTCATTCTCGGATGGAACTATATATTTCGTCAATCTAGTGATTCAGGAGGGTTGATTTTCTTTTTTGGGGGGGGCGATCATTGGGATGGATAGTGATCACCAAAGACCACGTTTCAGTATTTGCTCTCCATCCTACCAGGCTACCAGGTGTTTCAATGGGTTTCCGTCTTCCACCAAGCTCTTACGTTGTTTTTGTCTGATTCAAGGGAATCCAATGCATATATTATATTATATACTGTATATAATATATAAAATATTCATAATTCAACAAAGGCTCACTTTGCTACGGGCACCAAGGGGGATCTCTTCAACATGGCCGTGTTCGTCTGTGAAGGATTCTAGGCCATCGCTATTGGAAACAATAAAGAAGAAGGAAGACTGGTCTAATATAGTTTGCTAGTAACAAGAAGCTACTAGGGGCTCCTGGCATCGCTACTAGGAGCAAGGACGCTACTAGGGGCTCCTGACCGTACTACTAGGAGCAAGAAGCTACCAGTAGCAAGCTACTACTTAGGTTGGAGACCCTTCCCACAGGTTCACCATCAGACTTGGCACAAAGCTTAGTCTTTCGCCCCCCAGCTGGGTGGCTCGAGGTCGCCCATGGTCGCTCTCAGGACACACATCAAGCCTGATCTCCAGCTGCTGTTGCACGAGGAGATCGATGTCATCGTATGCCCTGGTGGTGGAGTGAAGGAGTTCATTCTTCACCTTACGTGCTGGGGCAGCAAGTTGTAGGCGCCTTCGGCCCCTTCTCACACGCATGTGATGTGAATTGCCCGATGTTCACGCGGAGGTTCAAGGAAGTTGCTGGATGTCTCGCATGTTTTTTCGATGTTTTTGTCTACCCAACATTTAAGGGACTGCAACTGTTGGCGGATCCGTCCTCTTCTGGGCTTGACATCCAACAGAGAACAGAAAGATGAGAAGGCAACTCCTCCAAATCGAAAACTTTGGAATCCCTAAAGTCATCATCTTAATAGTCAGTTATCCAAATTCATCTAAACCCATCTGAAACCTCACCGTGTTCATTTGTTGAAAGAAAACAAGCGTCGCATGCATGACCTTCGGCGACCTTCTTCGAAATGGTCCATCTTCGTGACCGCGGAGTGACTTTCTTCGGGTTTTGCAGCCATTTGTCTCTTTGTTCTTGAGTTCAGATGCAGCCATGATCAGCCATGTCTTGTTCTCCAACATCAAAGGTAAGTTCAGTACTTTTGGTCACTCGCTCAGCCAAGGCATCCGCGGAGCAACTTGGAGTCAATAATATGGTGTTAGTGTTCGGGGGCAAAGACAGACCAATTGGCAGAGTTCAGGGACAGACACTTGGATGGTCCAGCAGCTGATCCGCTCGAAGATTTACACCGATCGACTTTGTGTGCTTACATTTGTTGCACTACTTAGTAGGAGCCTGTATGGGCGGATGGTTACATGCCAATACCGACCGAGTGTTCGTACCAAAGTGGTTCGACAAGTAGTTGTTTTGCGCACGCAATGCTTCGGAGCAGAGGGTGGTTCAGTTGCATTTGTTTCACGGGTCTAGGATGGTGTAGGGGGGGCCGTGACATTTATTCACAAATTAAATCAGTGTTTCATTCAGTTGGCCGTGTTCCACCAAATGAACTACAAGGGCAAAGTGTGTGGAGATTAGACGTGCCCATTTCAAGTCCTTCCCCTTAGTTTCCTCGACCCAAGACAATTTACAGGTGTTTTGCTAGAAGCTGTCCATTTGTCGAGCGAGTTTAAGGGATGCATGTTGCGTCTTCAGATTTGCCCGACATGAGCAATCAAGGAAATTTTCCAGCATCAATTGCTCATTGTACGTCAATTAGGCATCAATTGCATGCCACACATTGAGCTTCATTAAGCCATGATGTACGCGTGAGTTGTTTGGGACGTTGATGGATATTGGACTTCAAGATCTGATCCAACTCTGAACTCTCCTGCCATCCCACCACATCCTTTCCATTCCCAAATTGTTTGTCTCAGAATGGTCAATCTATGTTCCTTGTGCCCAAAAAGGGTCACTGTAAGTGTTTCCTTTTCAAAAGAACGGAATGTGCAACAATCAGTCCGCCCATCACGAAGAGTGAACACCATTGTCCCCACCAGGCTATGAAGTTCTTGGCATCAGCTACTTCGGGAATGAACACACTGGAGCTGCTTGGCTCACCACAATGGGATGATGGGAGTATCGGTAGCGAGGAAAGACCTTGAAACACCATCCTCCTTGTAACTATATTCAGTGCTGTTCTGAAAAGCAGAGTTTTTTTTGTTGGACGCTACAAGGGCCTAGGGGCTCCTGGCCTTACTACGAACGGAGCAAGGCCGCTACGAACGGAGCGGTCGGACGCGGACCTGGTGAAAACCGCCACACGCGACTCGCCGCGACTCCCTCCTACTTGTTACTACTAGTAAGGCACTTGTTACTAGAAGCGATGCACTTGTTACTAGTAGCGTCCTTGCTCCTAGTAGCGTGGCACTTGTTACTACTAGTAAGGCACTTGTTACTGGCGGACGTCCCGAGGCGTCTCATGTGTCCGACGTCCAAGGTGCCGATGGACGAGCAGCACCACGGTCAGATGTGGGCTCGGTGCTTCGAGCTGCTGAGGGAAAAGGCGGACTATGTGGTCTTCTTCATGGGAGGTTTCGCGGCCAAGTACGGCTACTTCCAGCCATATGCGCCACGGCCGCAGAGGGTTCACGTAGTTTAGCCAAACCAACATTCTGACATTCTGTTTTTACTACTAGCGTGGCACTTGTTTCTACTAGCTTCTTGTTACTACTAGTAAGGCACCTGTTACTACTAGCGATGCACTTGTTTCTACTCCTGTTTTGTCATAATGCCGCTGAAGTGGTAGAGGATGTAGAGGCGCACTCCTTTCATCCACCAAAGACTCCGGCTTGTGTCTGGAGGGTGTCCTGCACCCCCACCATCTGGTCAAAAGCGTTATTCCAAGGATGACAACATGAGCAAGATTAGGACTGCCAGTGTCCAGCCACTTGTTTGGCTCGATTGGCTTTCGGGGCAGGCCATTTCAGGAATTTGGAGGTTCCAAAAGTGAAACAGGCAGTAACAAGTGCATCGCTACTAGTAACAAGTGCCTTACTAGTAGTAACAAGTGCCACGCTACTAGGAGCAAGGACGCTACTAGTAACAAGTGAAACAGGTAGATTTTAAGAGACTTCAATGTCATCGGCGCCATCTGCCATGCTCTCGACGGTTCCATCGGTCGGTTGATGACGGTTGTGATTGATCCATCAGGTTTGCTGGTGATGGTTCGCTAGTGGTCTCACGGTGGGCACACGTCACAAAAAAAAGAGAATTTGAAAGGCAACTAAAAGGACACGAAGAATCTAAAGGAATCTAAAGGGTCAAAGCAAAGCATCAACACATGAATACAAGGAAAGAGAAAAAGAGAGGCCAGACCAGGTCTAAAAGCAAAAGGGAGACACAAAAGGAAGTCTGTGTGTGTGTTTTGTAACACATCTAAAAGGAGAACCCAGTGAGACCACGTGAGACCACGCCTGTCACTGGCTTCACTAGCTGAAGAGCTCCCCGCAGGAACTGGGCATACGATCAAGGCTTTGAGGTGAGAACAGACTTTGACCAGGCTGGAAAACCGGGTCCGGTCCGGCACTAATCGCCGTTCAATCTTTGGCAGTTGGAAAAGCCATTGGACTCAAACTCCTAAACGAGATCTTTGTCTTCTAAAACGGTTGATTCCGACTTCCTTACCACTTCTGATCTTTTTCTTTTTGGACTACCAGATTCCCCTCGCAAGGATTCTCAGTATTCTCAAAGGCATTGGCAGGGTGTGTTACGTCGTTCCTGAGTCTTACATACACACGTCGCGAAATGAAGAGATCTTCCAACCAATGCGGGTACCATACCTGCTTCGTCTCTGAGCATGTGTATCTACATGTTTCCAGTCAAGGTGGGAGATTCTTCATGTTTGAATGTTTGGGTTCACAGATCGCCTTTGAATCTCACAGGTCCAATCCTGGCCGTTGTCGCACGACAACCTCCACTTTTCACGCGAAGTTCACGAAGAGCTCGTGGCTGCTTGGACTCGGATTGAGGTTTAACAACGAACTGTTGGACTCGCCATCCTGGGGTATCTTTTGTTTACCAATTGATTGGACCTCGGAATGGATGCATCTTGGGATGGCAATGGGGGACCGCAAGACCCCACTGAAAAAGTACAGGAAGGAAATCTGCTGAGAGTAGCATCCTGTGCATTGAGCGCTAGAGGATTCCATTCATAATAGCTTGTACGGCGATGACATGAACCATACGCGCACTTTACCCTACCAAAGCTGATATGCAAACTCAAAAAAACGACACTCCCAAAATGATTGGGCTCTTCTCCAACATTGCATCAACAAGGTGATCAACTTTGTTTTTGTGCGTGTCTTTATGACGGATCCAAAAGCGTATATCACTGTAGGTCTATAGATACCTCCTATTACCTCTAGTCTATATACTTCGTCTGTATACCTCTCGTATACTCCATAATGATTACCTCTTAGTATGCCTCTTGTGTCCATCACGACCGCTCGGTCCATCGGGAAAGCTAAGTCCTACTGGGCGAGCCTCTTGCAGAGCCGTGTGAGGTCCAGACCCTCCAGGCACATAGAATTCTAAGAGCTAACATTGTTACTACTAGTAACAAGTGCCACGCTAGTAGTAGCAAGTGCCTTACTAGTAGTAACAAAGTTCGCTATTTACCAGGCTACCGCCTGCAGCCGCCGACCCCCAAGGGATAGAACCTTAGCGCTAGCCTTGCTCTATGTTAGCCTTAGCCTTAAGCCTTAGCCTTAGCCTTAAGAGTGCAGACCCAACCCAGCACCACCAAAGCAGGTACCCAAAAAGTCGACTTTTTGGGTACCTCCCAGATTTACCATCGGACGTCAGCTCTTGCATGAACCCCGATCATTGCCCAAGAATTTAGACCCAACCCTGCACCACCAAAGCAGGTACCCAAAAAGTCGACTTTTTGGGTACCTCCCAGGTTTACCAATTTAGACCCAACCCAGCACCACCAAAGCAGGTACCCAAAAAGACAAAGCCTAGAGCATTCCTAGGAAAATGCCAGAAAAGCCTTTGAAAATCTCATAAACCAACAGAAAACGTGACAAAATCTACGAAAAAGCAAGGGCATTGGCCGGGACCATGCCGCGACCAGCCCGGGATTCGAACCCAGGACCATTTTGGACCGTGCTTATTTTCCCGCGCGGGTCGAGAG